GAGGGTTCATGGTTGAGGGTTTAGGTTTGGTACTCCCCCCACACGTTAACAGTTGGAATTTTCATTATGACATAAGTATTTAGAGCCCCTAATATGACCCAAACCCTACCCGTACCCTAAGCCCTAAGGATTCAGGGTTTATGGGGACATGAAGATCCTCCAAAATCAGATCACAGGCTTCCCCTGCCCGACATTTTTCTACCAGGAGAGATCGGCACTCAACAATTTTTGTATGAAAGCTCAAGTTTAAGGTTTATGTTGAGGGATTAGGGTTTAAGGTAAANNTTCAGGTTTAGGGTTTACGGCAACATAGGGTGCCAGGCAGGATGGCCGTACTGTAGCACTAGCAGCCTTTGTAGTTGACGCGACCCGGGCACAAGCATGAAGTGCCGATGACGGGTGTAATCATTTGCAGCTTGTGATCCTGATCGTGATGGTCACTGCTACGGCTGTTCTGTTCAATATACCATTTTTGGTACCTTGATGCTCTGCTAACATTGCTGCTGCCGTGGCTACTGCCGTGGCTGCTTTCAATACTGGCCACGCTCCAATCAGTTAATCCCCTCCCAACAGCAATAACAAGTACTTCCCCTGTTGTTGCTATTGTGGTTGCTTCCACATTTGCTGCCACCCACTGGAACTGCCGCTGGCTATTGCAAGTACCATCCCAAAATAGTACTAGTACTACTGCCTTCCCGCGCCGCCCATCCGCGAAGCTCAAAGGCAGTCTTCTGCCGAAAAGGCCAGCCGTTTCATTCCCATGAGACCTTTTGTTGCTGGACGTCAGGCCGTTTAAACGCAGAACCAGGAATGCAGAAGTGTGCCCGGGTTCAACCTGATACCTTCGCCCCACACGTCAAACCCTCAGTAGCCACAACCCAAGCCCTGAGCACGATGCTCAACAACTTAGTCCCCAAGCCAAAGCCCAAAGCCCCATGCTTACACCTTAGTCCGGGTTTAGATTGGGGTTTTAGGGTTTTAGGGTNNGGGTTAGGGTTTAGGGTAGGTTGCCGAGGACAGTGCCTCTGAGAACCCCCCCTGGATTCCCATATAGGTCTGTTCTAGGTGTCCTTCATGGGGGTCTGTCTTAGTTGAGGGTTTTCTAGGAATCGCCCGTACTGAGGTTCATGCCCATTTCATCGAGATAGAAGTACGCCGCAAATCCTTGCCGCAGCCGCCGGAGCTTTCGCGGCTTGGTTGGGCTGCTAAAGAGCGAGAGTTTCCAACAATCAGAGGTCCCTAAAACGAGCCTTGTTGGGCTTTGAAGGGATATGAACATGCATATATATATGTATATAAACACAAGCACAGGAGGATCGGAGATTAGGGTTTCAACAATCAGGGGCCCCTTATCGGAGCCATCATGACAAAGGTTTTTAATTTTTTGGAGCATATACGGGCCTCACAATTTCTTGCACTGTCGAAAATAACCCCTTTCATGAGCTGTTGTGAACGTGGTGATTTCCACGGAACGGCTGGAATGCTGCCCGGGAATGGACCGCCGATGATACTATCACGAATTGGTGTACAATCGCCTGTATGGTAGATCTTTACCTCATGGTCCCACATGCCAGACACCACGTATATACACCCACTAATAGTTCTAAGGAAGCCAATATACACTCAGCAAGACCCATCCCCAAAACCGTAGTTCATATCCATTCATTACAGTTTTCATTACAAGGGATTGTCCGAAACGAACCACACCCTACACCCCAAATCCCTAAGCCCCTCAACCCTAGACCTTTAAGCGCGCTCCTTTTCTGACATCTTTGCCAAGTTAATATTTGAGGGTTTTTCAAAATTAGGGGCACTTTCGGGGGGCTCCCTATACTAAGGGTTGTGATATTTTGGAGTTGATATTGGGGTCCCCGTATTTAGGG